TATGTTACAACCATAGAAGCAGAAATTCGGACCGAAACAAACGAACCGGTATGGGTAAGGCAATATCCCTATCCACCGACTGATAGAAGATTCGTAGAAGAGGAAATTAATAAATTATTAAAAAATAAAATAATACGGCCTAGCAAAAGCCCATATAATTCCCCCATTTGGACAGTCTCAAAGAAAGGAACCGATGAGGCGGGAAAGGCAAAAAGAAGAATGGTAATAGACTTTCAGAACTTGAATAAAGTCACCGTTTCAGATATATATCCTATCCCGGATATTACAATGATGTTACAGAACCTAGGGAACGCCAACTGCTTCACGACTCTCGACTTAGAATCAGGATTCCATCAAATCATGATTAGAAAACAAGACAGGAAAAGACTGCATTTTCAATAAACAGTGCGAAATACGAATTCCTTCGTTTACCATTCGGACTGAAAAACGCACCTTCAATCTTCCAAAGAAACAGAATTTCTAGGACACATCATAAAAAATGGAAGAATAACAGTAGACCCTAAGAAAATAGAGCTTTAGATAGATACAAAACACCAGAAAATCTGAAGGAATTACGCTCATTCCTAGGCAGACATCATACTACCGAAAGTTCATAAAAAATTTCGCACAATTAACCAAACCTCTCACGATATATTTACGAGGAGAAAATGGAAATATTTCAAAAAATAAAAGTTCCAATGTAAAAATAACTCTAGATGAAGAGGCTAAAAAAGCTATTGAATACCTAAATTAAAGGAACAAATAGAGTTATACCAACCAAATTTCAACAAAGAATTCGAACTTACAACAGATGCAAGCAAATATGCAATGGGAGCAGTTTTAGCTCATGGTAGGAATCCCGTTGCATTCATATCACGCACACTGACATGCACCGATTAAAATTACTCCACGAATGAGAAAGAAATGCTCGCGATCGTATGGTCATTAAGTAAACTTAGAAACTATTTATATAATATAACCAATTTAACCATTTATACAGACCTCCAAGCTTTAATATTCTCCATTTCCGAAAAAAACCCAAATTCGAAATTAAAAAGATGGAAATAGAAGATCACAAAATCATCTCCAGGATCATAAAATTTAGTAGCAGATGCACTCAGTAGACAAGTCTATACCACGACAATTGAATCTATACACTCTGCCGAAACCTCAACTCCGATCCAAATTAAACAAATTAATGCACCCATAAACCAATTCAGAAATCAAATTATCATAAAAAATCAGGTGAATCACAATTAATTCAAACCACAATATTTCCGAATCACGAGAGATTCATAATCTACTATAACACGCACACTGATTTAAAAGAAATACTAAAGAAGGTGATAAAACCAAATGTCACTACAGCTTTCCATTCACTACTAGAGACTTATGACGTTATAAACAACATATTCAGTACCACGAAAAAAGTATTCTGCCAACATCTATTAAAGGACATACTAATAGAAAAAGAAAGAGAGGAAATAATGAAATATACTCCTAATCGAGCCCACAGAAATGCTGAGAATAACACAAAAGAGATACTAGAGACTTGTTATTGACCAACAATCAGAGAAGACACAAAAAAATTAGTAAAAATATGTGTCATATGTAAAGAAAATAAATATGAACGCCACCCAGTCAAACAAGTATACGGAAAAACCCCAATACCCGAAGGTATAGGCACATCTATACAAATGGATGTATTTCATATCAACAACACAACATACTTGACTAGCATAGATAGATGCTCTAAATATGCATACATCAGAAAACTAGAAAATAAAAGAGAATTCCACAAAATACTAGAAGAAGTTCTCACTCAAATTTACCCATTTTGCTCTCAACTCATGCCCGACAATGAGTCAATATTTAAAAGCATAGCGTCAAAAGCACTATATGAAAAACTACATTTACAGGATACCATGACTACACCTAGTCATTCGACTCAAACGCTGAAATCGCAAAATAAAAGTACCACGGATGAAGAAATAGCATTGAAAGAATATAATAGATTCAGTGACAAATAGTAAACCTGTTGACTTATTTTTTGAAAGAAATAAATTTAGTGAAATCAAGGACATATTAAAAGAGAAACAAGAACGCATGGTAGCATACCACAATAAAAAACGACAAAATAAAATATATACACCAGGTGAAGAAGTATATGAGTCGAAAAAATTACACGCCGCTACATTAAACAGACAGTCAAGGAGAATTGTGAGGACACAATTTTAACAACGAAGGGGAGGATTGTACATAACGATAATCTACGAAGCAATGTACACCCAGACAATCCTAATATTAAACCTAATGTCCATAATGACAACTCAGAGAATAACGAGCCTGCACGACAAAAAATACTTACTGACAGAAACAGATCCGGCATACATATTCCACATGACCAACCTAACAACAATACTAAAGCCATATTACGAAATACAAGAAACCTTAGAAGCACAAAATCATCAAGACGTAACTGACGAAAGATTACTAAACCGCATAAAGATTCTTAGAAATCAGTTGCTACATAGCCATCGACCGCCGCAGAAGGTCAATAGATATTTTAGGCTCAGTACTAAAATTTATTACTTTAGTACCAGATCATAATGATCCAATAGAAATCAAAACAACTTTAACCGATTTAATAAACAATAATAATTTACAAAGGAAAATTAATTCAAACTTTGAAACTTTAATGCAAAAATTTAATATTAAAATCTTAAAACATCAGACATTGCTCCAAGAAATTCATAGGGAACTATTGGATTTGACCACTAAGATTACAATATACATTCATAGTAGTACACAAACGTCCATTAATAAATAAAATTTGTCAAACATTTAAAATCACTCCATTAAAGTACGAGTATAAACAAGGAAAACTTCAATTAGATGAACTAATTACAAAATACTTATACTCCAGAATCAAACTGTAAAAATAATTTAAGCAAATATATATGTAAGCAAAAGAATAGAGACAATAGTCCAGGAAAAGAATTATCCTGTAATAAATTTAAGTCATGGGAATATTGTAATTGATGGAATACATAAAGTCAATAACGACACTATCAAAGGAACTAACTTAGTACCATTCAACATTTCAGTATTAATAGATTCAGAATATTATCATAATCAGGATCAAGAAATAAAAGAATTTATCGAATCACAAGGATATGAAAAATCCATGTGTTAGAAATACTAGAGTCCCAATCTAAATATCAATTTGATAATATTCAAAAATTAAATAAATTTATAATCCCTTTCGAAGAACATCCAATTAGAAAAACATTTATAAATATAATAACTATTTTAACAAGTATATGTGTATATTACAAACTCTATATGATGTATCAAAG